TCCAAACGAAAGCATATTATCAACAAGACCAAAAAATTTGGCCCCTTGTGTGTATACCAATAACAGTACAGCAGACACATAACACAAAGAACTTAAAAAGTATTTTCTCCGATTTAATCTCGAAATAAAACACGGCAAAATATTAGTCTATATGTTAATAAGGCAGGTTTTCACTTTTCATTAAAAAAAACTGAAAAGAGCAAATGAAAGTGAATAGTAAGCAAAAATTTAACCAACGTAAAAAAGTAAATAAAGAATATAAGAGCAAAAACGTTGTGATTTCTTTCATAATATTTCTATATTCTGAAACGAAGCCGGCCAGACAATATGTATCAAATATCTTTTGTTTCCAGTTGAGAAGACAGAAGTTCATATGTTTTCAAGAAAAAGATAATCAAGTTTCTCAGTCCAAGAGTCGATAAGTTTACAAAAACCTAATCAATCATGAACCATAAAACAGATTTTGAAATCAAAAATATCTATCGAGGCCTTAGTCAAAATAAATATTGTGGTCTTCGGAATTTAAAATAAACACGGCACTTTCTGGCATGATAAGCCAAGCGTTACTGACCTGTGGGTGAATAAGCCAAGCAAGAGACTTTAACCTCAGGACGCCACCAACGCCGACTACGGTCTTCGCCAGCTTTGACCCCAGGGAGTTTCATAATGTGGCCGCTTTCCTCTGCAGCCATTCTGGAGGCGAATACCGAAAGAAATTGTCGGCGATCATGCATTTCCTGAACGCCCTCCAAAGAAAGGTTGCATGTGATTTCGAAACGTTTCAAAAGACACGTGTTAGGAACGGAGAAAAGGCACACAAACTTAGAATTACCACCGGCTAACAAATGGTCCCCGTCCGATGTATATGCCAAAGTTTGAAATTTGCTGAGGAAAAACAAAAATGGAAAAGTTCTAAAAATTAAATGAACTACTCGCACCTAGATTGCAGTAGTATTGTAATCACATCGAAATAATTTGCAGGTGCTGCAACAAGAATAAATGTAATAACACCGGTAATACCACATAACTTGGTTGGCATAATTGGATGTACATTATGATAGGTCATCTGCCATAGAAGTCATGATAGCTCGCAGTGTTAGAACACGGAATTTTTACATTCTTAGATGTTTCATTGGCAGCATCAGTGATTCGTGCCATTGACAGGACCAAGCTACATATCGTCAAGGAGACAAGTTAAGACAATCCCTTAAACAACTTTCTGCCGAATGGTTATGACGTTACTCCTTTTCCTGTCCTGGCACATCTATCTACTCCCTACCTTCTTACCACACTCTCGCCTTATCACAACTTCTGACTCGTTTACATTCCACCATTTTTTTCGCAAATAAGTAGGCTTACGAGACTACCAGTAAATCACAAATATATGAGTTTTTGTTCATCTTATTTCGTTAAAATATGGTGAACAAAAACTCATATATATCTAAATTACTGGTAGTCTTGAAAAACTACTCTTTACGAAAAAAGTAATGTCGTCTATTGATATATAAAATATAAATTTCCTTCATTGACAACGAAATTCGCATCTGCCCTGTGACTCAAGGGCGTAGTGGCTAACGTGTCGAGCTTACACGCCACACTGTCACAGTTGGACTGCCGCTTGGGGTGTTGATAAGATGTGAGCGAGGTTGAAACTGCAGTACACCCTGGATGAGAGCATCTTTTGTGAAAGCAAAGCTATGTGGAATTCAATGAAAACGTCAACTCTGCTTGAATACTAATCCCTCGAAATGGGTGAGCACAACTCATATACATTTCACTACTTAAGAGATGCA